AATTGGAGGTGGTCTTGTAAGGGCCTTATATAGAAGAGGGAGACCTGTATTTTTTAATAAGTAAATAATAGCTAATAAGTAGTATTAAATATTTGCAGGAACTGGTTCTGTTTTGACTGTTAATGGTGATATAGAAATGGATGCCATGATAATGGACGGCAGAGGTCTGCAGACAGGGGCAGTAACATGTGTACAAAACATTAAAAATCCTGTTTCTTTAGCTCGACTGGTTATGGAAAAGGTTAAATTTTATTTATTCTTCATTCGTATAATAGCAGCCAAATTTACAATTCAGTTACATTAAAGCTATTAATATAATATTTAAAACTTCCAAGAATATACAGTTAATAATGTTGTTATAATAATTCTTACATTATCTTTTTTTATTATTTTATTTAAATCATTTAATTTTATTATTATTACTGTAATTTAATTCTTTTTCAGACTGATCATACTCTGCTTGCTGGAAAGGGCGCTAATCGGTTTGCTGAAAAGCAAGGTGTTCAGCAAGTGAGCAAGGAACAGCTTATTAGCAAGACGGCAATTGAGAGATTGGAAAAATATAAGAAGTATAGCCTAGCAGTCAGTGATCTTTTCAGAGAAGGGTAATAACAATTGATAATAACATATAGTATTTACTCAGGTAGGCTCACACCCTTGAACACTAGGTCCAATGCTAGGGCGTAAGCTTATACCTGGGAAATCTCTGTTCATGTAAAGCTTCTTCCACTTTTAAAGATTTGCCAGTCAATATTATAACGCAAGTAATTGTGCTCCATAGATGCTTAGTTTTATATGCTTAAATAATAATCATACAGAGGTCGGACAAATCCAAGTCCGCTCCCTTTAAGCGCTATACAACTTGACACTGTCTGCTGACTCTCGGTGGCAGTCTGAACGGACCACCATTAAACATGATCTGTCATGCGCACGTTGTGGCATCGCGTTTTGCAAAGAATCCTGTCGATGACCATCAGGTGCAGTGTGAGTGTTGTTGCAGGTTTTAAATTTACCTAAATTATTTCATTGCTATGCAGCAAAGGTCATGACACTGTTGGGGCTGTAGCAGTGGATTCGTTGGGCAATGTCGCTTCGGCCACGTCCACAGGTGGAATCACTGGAAAAGAAGCTGGAAGAGTCGGTGATTGTCCATTAGTAGGTAAGAAGATTCTAAAGCCAGTTTTCAACTAGGCGAATTTATTCACGCCCATCAAAAGCGTTGGTTCACTTCCAGACTTCTGATTGGTTGCACATTTTTTTCCGATTTCGCTGAAGTGAAAATCTGGTAGATATGTGAATGCGCATGAACTGACCCTTTGGATTTGTGCGAATAAATTCACCAAATATGGTATATATTTATTCATTCATTCAAATAACAAATGCCGAAACCAAGATTCAAGTAACTAACTTAATTACAAAACCTCTAATATCAGTGTGGAATACTGCACTACTACAGTACTCTGTGTTGGATTCAATCTGTAGTCTCAAAATTGTAATTCACTCAATCATGCAGTGGACCTTCCACTAATACCCCTTTTACACTGCAAGCAAAACTCCAGACACAACCCGGGATTTTGCAATACCCAGGCTAGAAACTCCCGAGTTGTGGTTGGTGTAAACGTCAAAAAATACAACCTGTGTTACCAAACATCCCGGGATCGATTGCGGGACGCATTCAGCGTTGGACAACCCGGGTGCATTCTGCAGCTGTGGTCAGGTAGGCCTAAACTTTGCCAGCAATGGGCTAGGACTAGACACTTTTCAAATTAAACCCCCTGCAGTCCGGTATAGACTAGATATCAAAACTGTTGATTTAATTCGTATAATTTAAAAACAAACTGCATATACATTGCTTTAATATTGACAATAATTGCTGCTTTTTCACGACGAGGAACTTGAGCGTAGTGGTGATCACTATCGCAACAAAAATTGAGGGAGGTATTTGAACCCGAGTTATTTTTAATTTGATGTAAATGGGAAATTCACCCGGGATCACTCCCAGATTTATTCTGCCCTTGGCAGTTTCCACTAAGGTCCCACAAATCAGTAGTGTAATGTGGGAAGACTCCTGGCTCTGTGCTGATTGGTCAGTTGATAAGTTTGGTTGACACTCTGCAGAGGTCCATTACCTAGGATGTGTGTGGATGTGTCAGGACTCGTTTGAGACCAAGATTTATTATCTTACACAGTATATGTGATGGGGGTAATAGTGTCAGTTTGCATTAATCCTTCCATACCCAGTTAAAAAATTAAACATTCTGTGATATGTTATGCATCACATTGAATGGGATGAGGACTTTTGGGGGGGTGGGCACTTGAATATTTTTGCTTTAGACATTCGTAATGGGAGGTGGTGACTTACGGTGTGAGTTTTTTTCGGGGAGGGGGATGTGGGACCCCACACATCCCCTAGATACGCCCACCACTGATACATTGAACTTCCATACTTTGATGATATATTTTCCTTTACAGTACCTACTCTTTAATATTCTCAGGTTGTGGTGAATATTGTGATAACAAAATTGGCGCAGTGTCATCAACTGGACACGGCGAGTCCATCAGCAGGGTGGTCCTAGCTAAAACTATCATTATGTACATGCAACAAGGTACTACACAAGCTCATTATCATAATTTTCATCTGGATATCGCTATAATTTTTCATCCTTCAGATAATCTCTAGATATCATCAGTATTTCATTTTAAAGCCCTATCTAGACTATCAAATTTTATTTGAGAAAAACATGTGACATGCCTAAATTTGGTCATGATAACATCACATCATGACCATATATAGGCACATCACGACTATATATGGGCATACAGCAAAATGCGAGTTGAATGGCTGAGCGATTAGCATATGTAGATTTGGCCAAATTGTGTCCAAGAATCCACATGCGCAGATGACTTTTAGCAACATCATTACGTTCTAGGTCCTACCATTACCGTGCAATCAAAAGCTCTGTATTATCTGTGCAGGTACTAATGACACGCTCGCCTATGATTCTGGTGGTCGTTGATCGAGTTCCTAGTCCACATATCTAAGCACTTTGTATCCTTTGGCAAAAAAAGCGCTATATACATTTCTATATTTCAAACTTAGATTTAGATTTGTGAAAAAAAATTTGATAGTCTTACAGAGCTTTACAAGTGTTCACATTTTGATTATTATTATTATCAGGATTTAAAAGCTGCCCCACCCTAAATCATCGTGACCATAACTACAGAATTAGTAAGGAATTTTTTTTCTCCATCATGATTAGGATTGAGCTCTCAAGAAGCAGCTGAGAAAGCATTGTCTGTCATGACCCAAAGAGTTCAAGGGTCAGGAGGTGTAATAGTGGTCAGCAACACCGGTGACATAGGAATTTCGTTTACAACTGAGCGAATGTCCTGGGCATCAATGCAGAATGATCAGTTGTGTTACGGACTGGATCCTGGTGAAAATAATATTGCTACAATAAGCAATATATGAAACTTGTTATGCTGTTCGAATGTTCAATATTTAAAGGCTCCTATAAATTTAATGCCATTATTTTTTAAAAGATTGTTAAATTTTAAAGTAGATACAAGTATATTTTAGTCATTTCAATACAATTAAAAGCAAATATGTCAATTGTCTTAAAACAAAATTGCAATTCTTTTAAAGTTGACATTTAGAAATACTCACCAAATTCTTGTATGTAACTATATAAATGTCATTTAGTGGATTTTATGTAAATATACCATATATTCTCGCGTATAAGGCGATCTGCATTTAAGACGATTCTAGAGTTTGAAAAGATTTTTTTTTTATGGCGGCGTGTAAGACGACCCTCTGTTTCACCTTCGAAATTCCTACTTTTTGCTGCTTTTTATGGTCTTTCGCATCTAGGTGGCAAAAAAACAGAGCATCAAATTTCACTGCATCTAAAATTGTGTTCATTCAGCTTTAGTAGCTCATCTTAAATTTTTAATTTTTAATTTGCATGTTATGGAAAATCCGAATAAAAAAATGTGTATGTATTGCGCAATGTAAGACATCCCATCTTTCGATCGTAATTTGCTTTTTTAAGTTTCATTATACAAGAATACAGAGTAATTAAACTTCATACCTATTTCAATCGGTGAATCAATGAATTAAAGATTTTTTTTCAAAAGAATTATTGCGTTGTAGGTAAATGAAACACTAAAATGATTTGTTAATTACTTTTTTAATGTACAAAATATAGCCTAGAATTTTCATCATCAATATTTGTATGTAGCAGTTTCCCCATGTTGTGTACTTATAATAAAGATCATTTTATTTAAAAAAATATATATATATATATGTTGTAGACTTTGTGCACCTTATTTTTTTGTTTGTTTTTTTTTACTGGGAGGTGGGGGTGCTAGTGTAGATAGAGACTGATCACAACTTAGTGTAATGACTGATCATCAGTGTACTGAATTGGTAATGGGCGCCTTATTTTACACAGTATATATAATTGGGATAATAGTGTCAGCTTGCATTAATCCTACCATACCCAGTTGAAAATTTGAACATTTTGTGATATGTTATGCAGCACATGGCATGGGGTGGGGACTGATGGGAGAGGGGAGCACTTGGGGCACTTGAATATTTTTGCTTTGGACATTTTTAATATGGGGGGTGACTTAGGGTGTGAGTTTTTTGCGGGGAGGGGATGTGGGAGCCCACACACCCCTTAGATACGCCCACTGATAGATTGAACTTCCATACTTTGATGATATATTTTCCTTTACAGTACCTATTCTTTCATATTCTCAGTTTGCAGTGGATATGGTGATAACAACATTGGTTCAGTGTCATCGACTGGACACGGTGAGTCCATCAGCAGGGTGGTCCTAGCTAAAACCATCATCTTGCACATGGAACAATGTATAACACAAGCCCATCATAATTTTTATCTGGATATCGCTATAATTTTTCATCCTTCAGATAATCTCTAGATATTATCAGTAGAAAAACATGTGACATGCCTAAATATGGTCATGATGACATCACATCATGACCATATATAGGCACATCATGACTATATGGGCATACAACAGTTTTTTTTTAGTGTGGACAGAGCTTAACAAGTGTTCACATTTTTTTTTCTCCTTCATTTTTAGGATTGATTCCTCAAGAAGCAGCTGAGAAAGCACTGTCTATCATGACCCAGAGGGTTCATGGGTCAGGGGTGTAATAGTGGTCAGCAACACTGGTGAAATACGAATTGCGTTTGCAACTGAGCGTATGTCCTGGGCTTCAATGCAGAATGATCAGGTGTTATGGACTGGATCCTCGTGAAAAGAAGGTGGCTACAAGCAATGTATTCTAGGTGAAGAAACTCACCAAAGCTGGATTTAGCGGCAATATTTTCAGAATAAAAAGGCTATAAAGATATGAATTTGCGTCAGGTAAATATCATAAGAGTGATGTCTTTGCCCTACCTGACGTGTTATCATACCGAATACTCAGTCAGTAGTATTTGGGGGTGTACTGAGTATTTGGTATGATAACACGTCAGGCAGGGCAAAAGCATCAGCAATAAAAAGACTCCTATGGAGTAACTGGATGCTTCCTAAATGAACTTAAGACATCAGAAAGAGTTTCCATATGACGACAGCAGAAAGTAGAACATAATGATCAATGTCACATGGATTCCAAGATGCAGTTTGAACAAATCTACGTTGAGCAGAGAATGTAGGATGGACACACACACACACGAGTGAATCAGTTCATTGCTCAAATAAAAAAATTCATGAAATTGATTTTATTTAGTACATTTATTTTGTAGTATATCGACTCTTGTTGTATGCATGAGCTTATGCCGTAACAACAAAAATGTGTGACTTTTAACTAAATTTTTTTTTGTGACTTTATTGCTAGGCCTAAATGCAAAACACTTGGCAGGATATATACAATAATAGAAAGATCATTTTTTGAACATTTCAAAACAGCTTAAATTTGTGTTGAGCATATCCCTCTGAATTGGGTATGAGCACACATTTCCACGTTTTGGCTTAAATGGCATAACTATTTGATGTTAGTGAATTTATAATGATCTCAGATACATTGAAACATGGAAGGTAGAATATTATGATTATGGATGTTAGTTATATTAAAATTCATTAAAAATTGAAAAAGAAACAAAATTTACTCAAATTTTAGGATAATCGTAAGTTTTGCTGGTGTTTGCATAAGACCGTAAGATTTGATTGGAATGCGTAAGACTTACGACAAGTGCGTACGGGTTGACAAGTCTGGGTTATTATTAGTATTATTGATATTATTGTAAGATTAGGAAATTTTTTTTATTTGAGGTCAAGAGGTTAAATTACTTGTCATGTGGGGAAAATACATGTTAATATAAAAAATGTGTTGAACCATAAGTTATTTACTGTGTTTTATTAATGATACTCTCCTCAGTACAAAAGTGATTTCAGTACCTTCT